CTTTACACAGTGTAAAAAGTATAGCTTTATTTCAATTAGGTAATATTTTTTATGATTGGATGAATATGTCGATCTTGAGATGACACAATTAGAAGTTTTTGATAGAATAAAATAATATTTATTTGTATTTAAAAACCTATAAAAAAATATTTATCGATTTCTTAGTTCTTCTTTCAAGACTGGTTTACATTTCATAAATTTATTTCCTTATTTTTAAAACAAAAAAAAAATCAAATTTGAAATGTTGCGCTTACGCAACGATGGGTATTAACTATTAATTCATTAATCTTTGGTTGATTAAAGTTAATAATAAAATTAAAATATGAATAAATAATGTGCATAGGTTCAAAAATCCAACTTCTGGTGTTTTTGCCTCTATTTACATTATTTACTTTAACCACACCAACACCAAAAAAAAAATTAGTAAAATTGAAAGCAGAACATATATTCAAAAACATATATATTTTTTTTGTGAGTATTGCAATATGTAATCGCTTGGACTTTAACATTATCCTCATTATTTGGACAATTTGTAAACTTTCCCGTAAGCAGCCCGTTAACATTGGTGTACCAACTATGAATTATTAAATGTATGATATAATTTAATAAAACTCCTTTAAGGTGTTTATGAGTTTCGCAAGAAAGAAATGAAAAATCACAATATAAATCAACTTTTTGAATATTTTTTTCTTTTATATTTTGTTTGTGGTTCTTCACTTAATTGTGTTTGTATGATTGCACAAACATCATCAACCTACGATGGATACTTACAGGATTTTTTTGTGTAATCTGTAAATAAAATATAGTTATCATTAGCAGGTGTTGTGCTTAACAACTGCATTTTACATGAGTTACAATTTTTACATACATTTATGTACTAAATAGCCAGCCACATAGCATTTAGCTCTCTTTTGGCAAAATATAATGATCTGGAAATAAAAAATATATTAAAATTATTTTTAGATATAAGCCTTATCATTAGATAGATAGATAGATAAACTTCTTTCTAAATCTGTGGTTTAAATTTATATTGTATTTAAAATGCTTTATGCTGTTTTGTAATTTAAAAGTAAATATAGTATTCATAGTTAATTTTAAGCTTAGTTACATGCCCACTAACTAACTTACCTTTAGGAAATAATTGAGAGGAATTAGGAGAACTCCTTTGTAGCTGAACTTGATTCATATTTAAATCCAAGTGGTGACTACAAGATGCGTCATTGTCTTCTTTTTGTGTATCAACACATTTTTCAGTTTCAACAGAATATGATGAGTGTAGTCTCAAATGTTGATGCTGCTAAATAAAATATTTTTTTAAATACAAATAAATATATTAAAAGAAAAGTTAAATGTAAAGTTGAATATTGAAGAAAAGTTGAATGATAACATATTGTCTTGATTGTATCTTTCTTCCTTGTTTCTTTTAGAGTTTCTGATTGAATGTAAATAGACTTGTAATTTTTACTGAATTAAACACTGCCATTCTTATATTACATAAAAAACTATAAACAAATTTTTTGGTTTGTAGTTATCCAGTGAAATTATAATCTCTGCATATTTAGAACACTTTGTTTTTGTTTTACCTTTGTAAAGAAGTGACATAAGTAATTATTTTGCGATACTGTTTGTAGGCACTTTTCTTTATTTAGATAAAAAAAGGTAATAAAGACCGCACATTATAAATCCATCAAACCACATGTAAGTATATAAAAATGCTAAGATGACTTGTATACCTATTTCATTATATTCAATTAAATCTAATTTTTGTTTCTAATTTTTAATTATGAGCACCAATTTCTAAAGTAAAATATTATCCATAGTTATAAAATATAATTGATTATTTATAGTTTTTAGATATACATATTAAGCCGGGTCAAATGTTTGAAAAAGAACGTACAACGTACAGCACAAGAACAACAGTAAGTGAGTAAACAACTGAAATAATTTAAAAGGGCAATGTCCATTTTGGCCTAGCGTGTAAAAGCTGCTATCAAAAAAACAAGTTTATGGAAAAAAATACATATTTTGTAGCTATCCATTCTATTGTTGTTTGAGTGTACATTTGTATTTTATTGTATTTTTTTTAAAGTATCTTCATTGATTTGCTTTATAGATCCACGTTTTGTGTTACCAGCAAGATCAATTAACGATTGCGTCAAATCGAATCATCTCGCAGTACTTAATACAACTATAACAATTTAATTTAAAAAAAAATGAAAAATATTTGTTATAATTAGTTTAGTCATTTAAAACGTTTTATAAACTAAAATATGAAGAATGTTAAACGCAATCATATCTGTTTTCGATCGATTTTTTAATGATTTTTTTCTATTGCAACACTAATAAAACAAAAAAATACAAATTGACATTGATATGTCACAGTCTGATTGTTTACATTCGCTTTGTTTACCTACATTGAGAGTGTTGATTTATTGTGGATTTTCTTTCAACGATTGTTTATTCATTATGGACTCCGACCATCTTTTTCCAATGACCTCGGCACATCGACGGACCCCGAATTTCTCTCAAACGATAACTTGGCTTTTGTATTATGGACTCCCGAACATAGCATAAACGATGACTAACACCACGTAATATGGACCCCGAAACTAGCTCCATCGCTAACCACGGCTTGAATATGGACATTGAACAAAACCAAAGCGTATCTCATGATAGTCTGCACACAGAAGAAGTGACTTCTTACCAATCCGTATCTCTGAGATGCATAAACTGTGGAACTGATTTGATAGAGCGAAGGCGACCTAGTCTAGATCTTAATCAGGTTCAGTCTATTATAAGACAGTAGATAGCTATGAATGTACGTAGTTATGTATATACGAAAAAATATTAATGATTTCATGAGAAAATGTGATACTCATAGCATTGGTACAAGGAACAAACGTAAACTTGTTGTTTCCGAACCGGTGGTAGTGTCTCAAGTGACCATCAGTAAGAAAGTGTAATGCTTCTATATTGAATAAAGTTATTTGAGTTTGAGTTCCTCGACGAGTAAGTGTCAATTCAATTAATTATTTAAATCACTTGTTTTTTAAGAGATATGTATTGTATATGCTATTTCTATAATGCAAAATGAGGTTTTATTGTTTTGTATAATTATAATCCTTATATACTGTTGTATTATAATAAATGAAAAATGTTTACTCCTAACACATTAGCTGACTTTGTTATCGAAAATAATTTAAATAGAAGGCAGGCAGATTTTCAACCTATAAATGTAAACATGGACAGTTTCATATTTCCAAGAATACAGTGATCTTATATGGTTATATCAATGGTTCCTATACTATAGATGTATGTAGAAATAAAGCCAGCAACCTGTTGGTTGACTACCTGATTCCTTTAGCCAACTGCAGATTACTGCGTGGAAAAATACAAAGCAGGCATGTAAGTAGAAAAATATATTTTATATATATATATATATATATATATATATTTTATGAAAATAATCACAATGGTAAGGAAGCTATACAAGAATATTATTGTAATTGTATGGTTGGCCGAAGGACAGTGGGTTGCTGTGCTCATATAATGACTATTTTATGGTTTTTAAGTTGGGCAAGGTATCAGGAACACATTTCACCAACTGTCCAATTTCTTAATAACACATATTAATAACGTATGATGTCTCAGAATAAAAATAAAACATAAAAAATGTTGTTTTATTTCGCTTTAACCTGTTTTTCCTCACATGACAAAAATGTCTATTTAAACATTTTGATACAAAATTAAGTTCATATTCTCATTATACTATGTATTTAGTGCTTTTAAACTAATTACAAAAAATATGATAAAATGTCTGTTCACGTCAGGCCAAAGTCCCCATACTAAGTGGACAATCTCCTTTATGTATAATAATGGGTAAAACAAACAATCATACTATAACAAATAGTACTGTTTTTGAAATCAACACTGTTTGTTAAGTCATTTATTAAAATTATTGTTATTTATTTCTACATGGTTTACTTTGATGGAGTATTAAAGAGTATCATTGGCTTCTTGCACTGAGTCGGGTCGCCAACTTGCCCCTCCTCGGCTTCGCACGGGTGCAATGCTGATGCTAAATAGGTACATTACAGAAGAACTCTGAACGTTGTAATGGATGTTATTATACATATAGCGGCTTCACACGGGCAATAAACATAACATTTACTCAAATATTCACAATTTTTTGCGTCAAATAAAAAAAATAGGAAATTTAGTTCTTATATATTATTTCGTGATCTTAACCCTCCCGTACTTCCGTGCCCGAGTGAAACCTACACTAATAAAAAGTTAAAAAATTGTATACCTTTGTACGTATTAATGTATTTACCACTGGTGAATCTTAAATAAATAAATTAACAAACAAAAAATCAATCAATCTTTCCTTTTTATAATATTAGTATAGATATATATATTTATTTAGTTTTTCTCTTTGTACTTGTAATGAAAACCACCGGCCGAGGCATAAAGCCATACATCTCCGTGTTAATTATAATTTATAGCTATTTCTGTCTTCTCATGCTTAGGGTTTTGAGCTTTTCACTCAGATTAATTTTATAATTGATTAATAAAAATTATAATGAAGATTAATTATATACATATAAATCAAATACAAGGACAGAAATACAATTTTTTTAATAAAATACTTCTTTTCAAATTAGGTTAGGTAGGGAGAGAAGCTTGGACAGCGGAGGTTAAACGTACACCTGGGTCCCAGTCACTGTTGAAGCTCCTCTCCCTGGAACGCGACGGAGCCGGCACCCGCGCGGTGACTCCATGGAATGCTGACAAGTTTCGACTCTAACTTTATAATGACTCGGGAAGAGGGTCATAATATCTGTTCCCTGAGATGAAGACGTCCCCACTACAACCGAGAGCCATGACATTAAAAAAACTTTGAAATCGTCAAGTCCGCCATCACAAACTCCAATCTTCTTTGCTACAGTAAGCCCGCCACCACAACATCAGACGGCGGACTCCTTGTAAGCACGGCCACGTCACGGTCTTGTCTGGTCGAGGGCTCTAAGACCGTTCTGTTGCGAATAGGTTGCAGTTAAAACAATGAACGCTTTTGTCATGTTCCTGTTGATGGTCATCATGACGAGATGTTCCTGGAGGAGGGAGCACTATAGTCAACTAACATAGTGAGACCCGACACAACTTTCTCGACTTTAAACGAGTCACACGAAGTGTACATATTTCGCATATCGACCAGAATCAAAAATAACTTAAAAATAATAATAATTTATTAATTATATTGACTAGGTGGTACTAATAAGTAAAATACACAAGATTCGATCTAATTTGTGTTGCTTGTGTTCACACTCCTCATGAGGCCTGTCCGTGTTCTCACGTGTATATCAGAACCATCAGAACTATGAGAACTCCTGAAGCGAGACAAATTATCAATCCCATTTTTTTCTGCAAAATAAGAAATATTAAAGAACCTCATAGTATCACTCTATTTATTTAACATTATTCACTTGGTGGAAATCACCTTTTTGGCTCTCTTGCGGCTGATCGTACCCTTGAGTAGTTCCTGACCTCCACACTCCACATGTTCCGTCGCCTGGGAAGCAAAGTACTCGACGCTGTCCAAATGCTCTTGCTATAAAAAGGACACGTGACATTTAAACTGTTATCATGTTGTGTTATAATTAGTGAATGTTAAAGTGCTAGTAGTAAGTGTGGTCGTACCTGCGCGGCGACCAGATGTGCCAGCTGTGTGAACAGGTCCCTCACAGTGTTGAGCGAGGCCTCCACTCTGTGCAGCTCGTCCCGACGCGCCTCCGCCTCGCGCAGAGCCAGGCGAGCCTCCGCCGTCTCCGCGCGTAACTACACCACGCTCACACGAGACCCTTTAGTGTAGCGAGTATTGTAGCAACAAAAAAAGCAATACAAAACATATCTTACATTATCCACGAACAATGAAACGTTATTTGACTCCAACAGTTGTTCACATTCTTCATCTGTTATTGCGAGGTTTGCTGGAGACGAAAGAAAAGTTAATTAAAACAATGATTACAAGTAACGAGATCGTAATTACTAGCATCGATAATTTCTCTGTTATACGAGTGTCGGTACATGGAGCTCCGTGGCACTGACCGTGGAACGATCATTTAACACGTCGAGAGTGAATTTAACACAGCGCTAATACAACTTAAGTAGGTAACTAGAGTCCATCGACCCCGCCAGGCCGCCACTACCGACATGGAACCTACCCATCGGGAACTTTTATGTGTAATGGTTATTTATTTAACGATTAATATTGTTCTAATGAACAAAACTAAAAAAAATTTTGTATTAAACAGAATTTTGTAAAATAACAATTATTGTATCTGTAAGGTTAAACATGTATCAGGTACTAAATTTATCAAATGCAACAATAAATTTCACAGGTGAGACTGACCGATGTTTATTTGGTCCTTCAGCAAGCTGAGCTGATAGTCCTTGAGCAGCTGCAGCGCGTGCGTGTGTCGGTGGAGCGCGTCGGAGGTGAGGCGTCGTGTGGCGCAGTACTGCAGCCGCACCACCCGCGCCTCCAGCCCGCCGCCCGCCTCCCGCCCGCGAGCCTCCAGCTGGCGGAGCGCGCCCAGCGCCTTGCTGCCCAGAGCGTTGGAGCGGGTCACCAGCGCGTCCAGCTGCTCCTGTAACTCTACGATGAACACGGCACATACACCGACTACTCCATGTACAAGTTAATAACAGGGACTGTGAGTGTACCGACGTTTGTCGTTGTGGTAGGTGGGGTCGGAGTGCAGACGCCGGATGAGCCGCGTGTTGCTCTCCAGCTCCTGAACCCAGCCGCGGATCTGTTCCACCTGCGGGTAGATGTTATGAAAATAACTACATGTTGAGCACGAGATCTTCTAATGTTTAAGCTCCGCTTGTACGATAATCATATACCTACTTATCACCTCCACTTATATTGATACAGATGAGGTTATCTGTCGCAACGAGGCTGTACGCTAGTTTGAGTTCATTAAATTTAAAAACACACGCCAGAAGATACAATGTTACTTAACGTTGGTGTCCTGTAGGCTGTAGGTCGACGTTTATTTATTACGAAGCTGTTCAGTTATATTTTATTCCTGGTCAAGTGTATGTGTGTGTCATATTACATGATAGTGTTGTCAGTTCATATTAATAAAGATGAATGTCCTCGCTCGCCGCCACCTTGAGTCAACGACGAACGAGTTCAACAAATAAACATGTTAACATGAATTCGTGTTTTATTGATCTGAAACTTGTCGCTCATTTCAATTGTTATAATGTGACATGGAAATATTAGAGATCATAACGACCGAGGCGAGCGGTGATAATTAATTGTTTAGAGGGCCAGCCGCCAGCCGCCAGCGACAGGGTCCAATGTGATTCATTAATGTTATGTTCGTTTGAAAACATTCAACATCAGATAGACAGTAAGTGTTCGTCGTCTAGCATAATGCATATGTTCCGTCGTTTTTCAACTCGTAACGAATCGTACATATGTATATAATAATATCGTACAAGTTTAGGATCCTTTTCACATTCATAAGTCTGCGTCAACTATAATTAGTGAAAATTTATGAATAAAAAAACTGTAAACGCTCCGTATGTAGTGTGAGAATGCAAACTTAGAGTAAGCGTACAGATGCTCGTTAGTTTATAGAGGTGGCCAGGTAATAAAGCATTCAACGATCATAACGTACAAAATACGTAGTCGTTAATAATGTTTATTTTAAACACAGGTCTCCGATCCGTCGATTCTGTTTCCAATAGTTTAGTTGTGTACGAATGTTCTTCTACGTACTTCCCTGAGCAGGTCGTCGAGGTGTGCGTGCAGGTGGCGGGTCGCGGGAGGCTCCACCAGCACCTCACACTCCTGGCCCTTGCTGCTGGCCAGCTGGAACAGGCGAACTCTTATTAAGGAAACGCTCGACCAACTATACAATTCATTGAACAGCTGTTTTAAGCGGCGGGACGTTCATAATGATGCAATTTAAAGTTTTAGTTAACAGTCATTAACACTATGTTTCGAAATTATCCGGTCCGCTGTTGTAAACACTATTATAATATTACAATATTTAAAGGTGAAACAATTTTGTGATTCAATTTATCAGACTGTCAATAAAGTAATTTATACAGGGTGACTGGTGAATTACTATCGATATTTGAGGACGTGATATTTGACGATTATATATGACAAAATAAAAATTAATATAACATAAATATTAATAAACTTCTAAGTAAAGTTAACCAAAAGTTATGTAATTAATTACGCATCGTATGAACACCCTACAGATTAGGTATACACACACACACACACTCGCGCGCGGCGGCGTGTTGTTGTATCAGCACGCCGCCGCACGCGTCCACACTTGGAATACTTGGAACGTGTACACACTTTATTTATTTATACGGAAATTTGGTCAAAAATTAAGTACCTATTTTTTTTACATAATTCGAATGAGAATCATGTACCGAGTATGCTCCTGAAATATTGATAGTAATTCACCAGTCACCCTGTATATCCATTCATATAAGCGTCAAGAGCGATGTCGTCAGGTGTGTGTTGTAGGTGGTGAAGGTATATGTGCTCGCCGCCGCTCACAGTCGTTATGTACACACATGTACATATACCGTTGATAGTAAACAGCACTTTCCTTTACAACAACAATAATTTCCTAATATTGATGACCGTAATGCGTCAGTCATGAACGCACCGGTCGTCACTCACCCGCCGCAGCTCGTGCAGGCGGTCCTTGCTCCTCATGTCTGCGCCCGGTCAGTGCGAGCCTCCTGTTTCCTCTCTCTGAGCTCCACCGGTCCGCTCGCGGCGGTATCTAATCGCACACTGATAACGGCTCTGATATCACCGCCGCATTAAGGTCGAGCCGGCCTCTCCTCACACACCAGATCCTCTTTATTCGTATTATAAATAAAGGACAGTGACGTCACAGCTCCCCGGCCGGCCGCTGGTCGTGTTGTTGTGAGCGTGCTCCACACTCCCCGCTCGTATGACACACTCGTTCAATATATTTGATGATTCGACATAGTTTCATTTATTTATTCGCGTCTGCATTTTTATGTATCATTATTATAATTAATGGTCGCTTACTTTATATTAAATCTTTTTAAAAAAGTTGGAAGTGATTTCAGTTAATATAATATAGTAAGGAAAGTATGTATTTAAGAATCTTCCCCTTAATACATCTCAGTCTAAAGAAGCCCCTCGTCGTGTGTTAACGCTACATCACTTCAATGATCGAGCCGGACGTTGTGGTCGACAAGAGACTGCTTAAGGAAAAACATTAATAAATTTTCGACGATTTCAGTAATTATCGACCTTTATTATTCTTTTTGCATGTTCATTACAAAAAATAGCTAGAATGTCAGTTCTGCACAATCAGACAATAAAAATATAACATGGATATATACGTAGGAGCTGATTATAAATCATGTTACGCAACAACATATGCAAAAACAAAACGTTGCATTTCATAAACTTATAATATTAAGTTTTTAGCACAAAACAATTACCTACATCGCAATAAACTACAGAAGCTGTCCGGATTTCTAATGTAGTTAGTGATTAAGACTTTTCATAGATGGCGTTGATCCTCGACCGGCACCTATACATTGGTTGTGTCGTGCTCCTCTTAGTTACTAACAAAGACTACAGATGGCGCTGGTAATAAACACTCTTGTCTTACATTTATTTCGATACATTATAAATAAATTTTGCTAAGTATAAAATTTATAGCAATATTCAGGACAATCAAATTAATTTAATTCTTTTTATCTATAACTAGCTGCCCGGCGAACTTCATACCGCCCTATAATGAAGAAATATCTGTAGCGTTTTTATCTGAATGAAGTTATTTTCCTTATTCCTCAATGGAGTTTTGCCTGGTTCAACCTGAAAAACATTAATCACTCAGTTTCCATTTTTACATTCACATCAACAGCATATTGGTGACAGAGACGCTAACATATTAAGATGTGATTGACCTCAACTTCTCCAACCATAAGCCTGTATGAATAATAATTCATTTAATTAACTTTTTTATTAGTTTCAGAACTTAAAAACATTTTTTTGTGATAAAATTATATAAATTTACCTTTCCCAAATAAGATGAATAATATTTATATGTTCGATGTGTTTCGGACACACACTGCAGTTGATTGTTACACCGGTGTAAAATAATATTGTGGTTATCCACATTTTCACCCACTATGACAATAGCGACTTCATCAATTCTTTGGGCATTAAAATGTCTTATGTGTTTGATAACAATTTTGTGATTATGAGATGGCATGTGATCTAATGCGGTCTTGAATAATGCAACCAATGGGTTGTGTTGATGGAATAATAATTGGAACTGTTCCACAACTGGTCTTTTCACAGAATAGTTGTGTGCACAACGCTGATCAACTTGTCCTCCTGAATCGCCCATGAAATTAATTTGGAAAAATTTATAGTCACTGACCGGCACTGGTGATAACTAATAAGTTCAATGATATATCTGTCCTTGAATCTGCAAAGGTAAACATTCCTGTATTACATATACATATCGTAAAGTAAATTGTTCAAACCCCCAAGTGACATTCGAAATACTTTGTGAGCACTACCATTTCCCCCCTCAAACTTTTTGACACAATTCCTTCTGGCTACTAAAAGTAATTCACAGAGCTACAAATGTACTTTAAGCCATTTCAAATGATGCACCATTACAATTGAAAACTGTGAACAATAGGGGTAAATGTTTTTCAATACACTTACCTGATAAGTTGGCATAAAATTTATTGTACTGTAGTCCATTTCTGTTATAATCAAATGCAGCTCTATAGGTGTTAAAAACAACACTTCTATATTGTTGGTTTCGGTTCTGTTCAACTTCATTCCGCGTTTCACGTTGCTCATCAGTTAGACTTGCTCTTCTATTAATTTGACTTGAGGCATTACGGGTTCTGCGACTTAAGTTTGTACAACTAATTGCATGCCGGCATGTTTTGAAACAAAATTCAACTGAAAATAAAAAATACTATTATTCTATTCCTATTCTTTTGTAATAGTATCAAAATGGTCTATCAAAACTATAATAATTTGACTTACCTTGTTGAACAAAAACTTCAGAAAAAAACACAGTACAAATTATCCCGTAGAAACCAATGTGAAAATTACACTAAGAAATGGTAAATGAATTATGTAGGTATATTTTTATTATAACTCCGGCCACAAATAGTAAAACTGAATATGTACAAAACCACACAAAAAAAAAAAATACAGTTTGCAAACAATTTGAAAGAATAACTGAACCCTTATAATATAAATAGTATATTATCTATGACTGAACCTTTAACTTTTAAGACAGAGACATTTTTTTTATGTCCGTTCCGTTCAGAACTGGCAAAGAGAACAAAGCCCATACAGCCATGTCTTTTGTATTTTGTAACATTAATTATTTTAATATATCTTAATCCCCTTTTTATAGTCTAGACTCAAGTTTTTATATCAGGCCTAAGCCATGTCTTCTTTTAATTTTCTTCCTAAAACATTTTTTTAATTTTAAGGCCGCAGCCATGTCTTCTTTTATTTTTTCTTCTTGAATCCTTTTTTAATTATAAGGCTGAAACCATGTGATTATTATAAATATTTTTTTTTGTCAAATTCTTGTTTTTTTTTTACATTCCGTCTTTTTCAATGTCAAATCCTTGTTATGTCATTTTTAGTAAAATTCATTTGTCACAATCGATAAAACGGTCAAATTCTGAAAATAGCTGAAATAGCTGAAAAACAAATCTTAAACAAAACGAAAAAATTAGTATTATATACATATGTACATATAACAATTAGATTTCATTTATAGTAGTAACAATAAAGTCATAAACTGGCAAGAAGCATTCTTGAATGCTTAGTATTTGCTGAAGGGAGCGCGGGATATCTTCAGCAGTTTTAAAAATACCTTAAAGTTAATAAACTTAAACTATCCGTTATTATAATCCACTTTGGATGAGTCTGTGTTTGAATGTGCTGTGTATACAGCTATGGATTCAGCGGAGTACATGACTATATGCTTGTGAGTGGATTCAGCCTATGGCCTTTAACTTTACTTAGAAGTTTATTAATATTTATGTTATATTAATTTTTATTTCGTCATATATGATCATCAAATATCACGTCCTCAAGTATCGATAGTAATTCACGAGTCACCCTGTATATCTGATGATATCCCTGCCACCTATCAAGTTCCCTATAAATGTCTTGCTTATACTTTAGGAGACTTTTGACTACAATTTTAATCTGAATAAATTTTGATTCATATAACCCAGAGTAACAAGGCCATACCTTGCTAGAAAATATATTATGTTTATTAAAAATTAGTTCTGTTTCAGAAAAACCTTGAAACAAATATGAATTAATATTGGCAGTCCTGTTAATAATGTCCTGCAGTTTAACAAGAAGTGGGTGATTTCTGACGGAGAGCAACCTTGCAAAAAATTTTGATTGTAAGTATTTAAACCTAAGTGCTAATGGAGGTATATTACATTCCACCTGCATTGACACTATGGGAGTATCTCGCATGGAACCTATTATAATACGCAAACATTTGTTTTGTATCTTTTCTAATTTATCTACTATAGTTCTTACCCCTGCAACCAAAAAAAAGCATATTCAAAATGACTCCTTACTAATGATTTATATAATGTTAATAGAATCATTGGATCAGCACCCCAATATGTGACTGTTAAAGATTTTAAACCATACAAGCATTTAAAGCTCGAGATTCTAGAGTTTCAGCATACTTATTCCATCTAAAATTGTTTGTTAAAATAACACCTAAAAACTTTACAGAGCTCTCTACAGACATTACATTATTATTGAACAAAATATTTACATTCCCATTTCTAATTCCATTTTTTGAAAAGACAACAACTTTACTTTTTTCATTGCTGACCTCCAGCCCAAAGCTATCAAAATAGTTCTTTAGTCTTTGGAGAGCGACATTGAGGACTGATTGTACATGTAAAAAATTAGTATCAGAGCAATAAACAACTAAATCATCTGCAAACTGCAGATTAGAAACTTCACACCCCAGAGTTAAATTTAGCTGATGTATGAATAGGATAAAAAGCAATGGGCTCAATACACCACCCTGTCATACACCCCTACAAGAATATCTTGGACCAAATAACTGATTGTTGACCTTAACAAACACCTTTCTGTAGTTTAAAAAATTAAAAATTCAATTTACAACTTTTCCAGGTACCTGTAGTAATAATAATATTGAGGATAATTTGTTCAAATCTACATTATTGAAAGCCCCTACAATGTCAAGAAAAACACCAACTAGTACTTTATTCTGGGAATCAGCATCGTGGATATCCAGAGAGAAATGACGTAGACTCTCACAAGCAGAATGGCCACAACGAAAGCCAAACTGATTGTAAGGTAAAGGATTATTACTTTCTATGTGAAAAATTAATCTCTGTTTTATTAATTGTTCGAAAATTTTTCTAACACATGAACTCAGTGGAATAGGACGATAAGAATCAGCCAAATTAAAGTCTTTGCTAGGTTTTAATATTGGTACCAAACAGTCAGTTTTCCAATCCTCTGGGATAATAGAAGATGACCATAAACTATTTAATAAACTTAAAAAAATAGAGTTTGAACATTTAAAAGTTTAAACATTTTGTAGGAAAGCCAATCCAGGCCACATGAAGAATCTTTTCTTGAGGCTAAAGCAGATTTTAACTCTTGCATTATGT